AGCTGCAGCAGCGCAGTAGCAGCAGCAGCAGCGCAGTAGCAGCAGCGCTGCTGCAGCAGCAGCAGCAGGTTGTGACAGAGCTGCCTGCGTGATGCTCTTGAGCGGTGTTTGTTGTCTCTTGAAGAACTGCGAAATTAAAAAATGAAAAATGCGGGAAAGAGACGCAAAAGAATTTGCCAAGAAGCTGAGGTGTACGTGCACCCCAAGTTGCTGGCGTGTACGTACACCCCGAGCTCTGCGGTGTACGTACACCCCAAGTTGCGCACGGGCGGCGGGTCGAAACTTCGACAAAAGGAGTCGGAAAAAGACAAAAAGGGGCAAAAAGGAGTCCAAAAAGACGAATAAAACGCTAAAATCAATGGAAGTACCTACAGTCCGAAAAGTGGAGAAATAGAAGAAAAACGAAAAAAAAATGAAAAGACACCACAGAGGGCCCCGGGAAACCCGCAGCGGGATCTTTCGAGCTTTTCTTTAGGAGCTTTCTAGATTCTTTTTAGACTCTTTTTAAAAATACGTTTTGGACACTTGTTAGACTCTTTTTAGACACTTTGTAGACCCCTTTTGGTCTCATTCTAGTCTCTGTGTTCCTTTCTAGGTCCTTTTGGACTCTTTTTAAAATACTTTTTGGACATTTTTGGACACTTTTTAGGCTCTTTTTAGACTTCTCTTATCTGTTTTTAGTCTCTTTCTGCTTTCCTCGTTATCTACGTTTTAATTTCATTTTGGTTTCTTTTTTTCTTCTTAAATTTCTCTTTGATACCTTTGTAGACTCCTTTTGAAATACTCTTTGGACCTTTTTAGGCCTTTTTGCACACTTTTAGGACTTTTCTTAGACTCTTTTTTATCTCTTTTTAGTTCTTTTTTATTCTCCTTTTGATTCCTTTTTTAGACACTTTTTGAACGCCTGTGTCCTTTTCATCTTCTTTTAATTTTAATTTCATTTCATTTGTATCTTTTTTTAATGTCCTTTTATTTTTTTGATTTTTCTTGGCCGCCTTTTGCCGCCTTTGAGTCTTCTTGTAGTCTTTTCTGTTTCTCTCCTTTTTACCTTTTTTATTTAGTTTAATTAATTTTTATTTTTAATTTATTTTTAATTCATAGTAATTCACTTTAATTCATTTTGGTTTAAATTTATTCTTGTTTCCTTTTAATCTTCTTTGTTTGCCTTTAAGCTTCGTGAGTTCTTTTTATTTCCTTTTAATTCTTTTTGTGCTCTATCTTCTTTTGGTTCTTTGATTTCTTTAAATCTTTTTTATTTCCTTTTAATTCCCTTTATTCCTATTGTCTATTTTGTTCTTAATTCTTTTAATTTATTTTAATTCATTTTAATTTCCTTTTAATTTATTTTAATTCCTTTTTATTCCTTTTAATTCCTTTTTATTCCTTTAAAAGAAGATCAGAGGAAACTTCTAAAAGAGATAAAAAAGAAAATTAAAAAAAGCAGAAAAGATGAAGAGGAAATTCAAAAAAAGAAGCAGAAAAGATGAAGGGGAGATTAAAAGAAGCCAAAGTGGGAATAAAAAGAAATAAAAATAAAAATAAAGTAGAAATAAAAGGAAAAAAGAAATGAAAAGAAATTAAAAAAATAAAAATAAAAGAAATAAAAGAAGATCAAATAGAAATTTAAAAGTCCAAAAGGAAAGAAAAGGAAATTAAAAAGATTTTAAAAGAAACGAAATCGAAGCAGCAGCAAAGCAGCGCCAGCGCCACGCTGAGGCTTCTGCTGCTGCTGCTGCTGCTGCTGCTTCTGCTGCTCTGGTCTTCTTATTTGGTCCACTGCTGCTGGTGCTGCTGCTCTAGTGCAGTTGCAGCTGCCGCTGCAGCAGCAGCAGCAGCAGCTGCTGCTGCTGCTGCTAAATCTCTGCCTCTGCCAGCAGCTTCAGAGTGTCCCCTCTGCTGCTGCTGGCCAAAAGAGACAAAAGAGACACAGAAGACAAATTTATTATTTCTTCTATTAGCTGCTGCTTGTTGAGGGGGCCCGCAGGGCCCCGCCGCAGGCCCCGCCGCTGCTGCTGCTGCTGCTGCTGCTGCTGCTGCTGCTGAGGGTTTTCCTGTGGCCCGATCTCCTGCTGCTGCTGCAGCAGCTGCTGCTGCTGCTGCAGGCGCAGCCGTGCTGCTGCTTTTCGTAGTCTTATGTAGGAGACACCGTGGAGCACGGCAGCAGCCCTAGCTCGGACGCGCTCGGCGCTGCTGCTGCTGCTGCTGCTGTGCTGCTGCTGTTGCTGCTGCTGCTGCTGCTGCTTCTTGGGGTGGAAAGGGCCTCCTGGCGTTGGGTGCCTCCGGCTGCTCGAACCTTTGCTGCAGCTGCCGCTGCAGCTGCTGCTGTTGCTGCTTTTTTCTACAACTGGCTCAGCAGCAACAGCTGCAGCAGCAGCAGCATCGCCCTTGTCGTCTTCAGCAGCAGCAGCAGCAGCATCTGTATCTACAGCACCGGCAGCAGCAGAATCAGCAGCATCCTCAGCAGCAGAGCCGACAGCATCAGCAGCAGCAGCAGGAGAGGGTGGTGTTCGCTGCTGCTGCTGCTGCTGCTGCTGCACTGCCTCCTTCAGCCTCTTCCTCCAGAGGGCGTCTCTCTCTTGCAGTTGGGTGTTGTGGATTTGCTTCCTGAGTTCAAGTTGCTGCTGCAGCAGCTGCAGCTGCTGCTGCTGCAGCTGCAGCTGGTGCCTTTCGTCCTGCAGCAGGAGTTGCTGCTGCTCCTGCTGCTGCTGCATCTGCTGCTGCAGCAGCAGCATCTCCTGCCGGTGCTTCTCCCTCTCCCGTGCTGCACAAGTGACCCAAGACAGAGCAACACATTGCTGCACCCAGGCCTCGCAGGCGTCCACCAGCTGCTGCTGCTGCTGCTGCTCCTGCTGCTGCTGCTGCTGCTCTTCTGCCTTGTCTGCGGGGCCACTGGGGGCCCCCAGGGCCTCTCTGAAGCTCTTAGGAAGTCTGAGGGCCTTCAGCAGCCGCTGCTTCAGGCTGCTGTCTGCTTCGCTGTCAATCATTTTATCTATTATGCGCAGCAGCAGCAGCAGCAGTACCTGATGCTGCTGCTGCTGTTGCTGCTGTTACCGCTGCTGCTGCTGAAGTTACCGCTGCTGCCGTTTCTGCTGCTGCTGCTGCTGCTGCTGCTGCTGCTGCTCGTGAGAGAGGCTGGGAAGGAAGGCGTGACTCGGCGGGGGCCCCAGAGAGCCGGCGGGGTTTCGGGGGTCAAGCTGGAGTTAAATTGAATTAATGAATTAAATTTTTTGAAATTAAATTAAATTTAATAAGTTAAACCAAATTAAATTTCTAAAATTTAAAAAGCACAGACAAAGACACTGCAAACAGCCCCCATGCGGCGGTGGGGTTGAAGCAGCAACACAGCAGCAGCAGCATGGGGCTGCTGCATTTCAAGTCAAGTTTGCATCGATTTATCCAATAAAAGTCATTTAAAATGGATTTATTTTAATCATTCATATATTTATTCAAAATAATTTCAAAAATTGCATTAAAATGAGAAAAAATGCTTCAGTAAATGCATCTTGAGCCTCTGAGCTGGGGGGTTTAGGTTTTAGGGTTTCTTCTGGGGTTAGGGGTTCACGATTTGGGGTTTAGAGTTTATCTATGGCCTAGGGGTTTAGGGTTTAGGGTTTAGGCTTTAAGTATTTAGGACATACGGCTAATCTTAGGGTTTAGGACTGAAGGTTTGGGGTTTGTTTCAGGGTTTAGGGCTTACGGGCTAATTTTGGGGTTTACAGTTGAGGGTTTGGGGTTTGTTTCAGGGTTTAGGGTTTGCGGTTGAGGGTTTAGGGTTTATTAGGGTTTGCGGTCGAGGGTTTAGGGTTTAGTGTTTAGGGTTTGGAATATGAAACGGCCCAGAGCAGCAGCTAATATCCCTAGATGAGGCAAACACACCACTGAGGGGCCGCGTAAATCCCTAAACCCTAAACCCTAAACCCTAAACCCCAAACCCCAAACCCTAGCCTAGGCTTCAAAGGCTATATCCTAAAGCGCCCTCCCTAAACCCTAAAGCCTAAACCCTAAATGGCGTTTCTGGGGCCACTTTGCATGCATCTTCGGCGTTCGTGCTTTGCTGCTGGAGCTGCAGCAACTGGCCGTGCTGCTGCAGTTGCCCTGCTGCTGCTGCAGCCGTGCTGCTGCTGCTGCAGCCGTGCTGCTGCTGCAGTTGCTCTGCTCTTGAAGCCAGAGTAGCCTTGCAGTTGCCGCTGCTTTGCTGCTGTTGTTGCAGCCCCAGCCACCTTGCTGCTGCTGCTGCCGCTGCTGCTGCAGTTGCTGCTGCTGCTGCTGCTGCAGCCTAGGCTGCCCGTTAATATATTAGTACTATTACTACCTTTATTTCTTTATTATATTATTTCAATTCCAAAATGTTACTTTTCTGTTTTCACTTCACTGCTAACAGCCTTTATAAGGCCATTATTGCTGCCAGCTTCAACAGTAGCAGCAGCAGCAAAGCCACAACCGCAGCAGCAGCAGCAGCAGCAGTTCAACGCAAATGTAATTATCTCTAAACTTGACTGTTCTATATTTAAAATGAATCACTTTTACTTCCTAAGTGGTTTCTGCTGCTGGCGTTACAACGCCGCCCTTGCTGCTCTTCGTGCTGCTGCTGCTGCTGCTGCTGCACTGCTTCTTCGCTCGACTTCTCTCCCCTTATATTACTACTAGAATTATATTATTTTAATTCTTAAATAATTATAATTAGTTTTTTATTTATATTTTTATTTTGCTGCTTTCCCCTGCGAGGCAGTTTCGGGCAGCAAGCAGCGAACGAGCTGTCTGTACACCTGAGGCCCCGCACAGAGCAACGGCAGCAGCAGGAACAGCAGCAGCAGCAGTTGCAGCAGCAGCTGTTGCTGCAGCAGCGGCATTTATTTATAGTTGGGGTATGAATGGAAAAACTATAGACTGTCGCTGCTCGTGGCAGCAGCCTTAAATGGAGCTCAAATGGCAAAAATAGAA